TAATACTTCATTATGATATATTATTTGTTTCTTATAATAATCCTCATAAAATCTACTCAGGGCTTTAAAAAAATTAAGTTAAAATGTAGTCAAACCACTGAAGTACTCTTTATTGAGATTAAAGTTACAAAATTAAATATCATATTTATAGTTTTAGATTTCCACCTGATTCCAAATCTTAAACTTAAATTACTTTTCAAGCCTTCAACTCCACTGTGGTTGAAAGCTACATGGACCTCTCCACTATTTATATAATGATATATTTATCTATATCAGTAATATAGATTTATAAGTGTTTATTAGAAAATATTTCCTCCCTTTCCCATTTAATTTTTTTTGTGCTAAAGTAACACATATCAAAGCAAACTAACACTATAGTGAAAGGTATGGAAGAAATGTGTGTTAACCTAGTCTACCATTTCATCACTTGGTAATTACCATAATGGAAAATGGCCAGCATTATTCTAGTAATAATTAAACTAAATTTTCTCATGTTGAATAAGTTAATTATAAGTTTACCTAAGTTAAGGATAACAAATGAAGAAAAAGCCAGGCCATATAATATTAGGAGCTTCAGTCACTGCCCTTACCTCAACTCTTGCAGCAGCCCAGGAGCCTTGAGCCACTACTCTCCCATTGGATAAGAAGCTGCATAAGGAAGAAGAAAGGCCATTCAGGGGCTTTCTGGCCCCATAATTCAACAACTGCCACCACCCCTACGGCCTATAGTCATACTTTAATTATTAGAGAGCAGAGGGTGGCCTGAATTATTATGACCTTTACTATATATATTTTTTTAACTTCACAAGGTTATTTTAAATATCCACCTATTCCCAAAAAAGGGGCAAAAAGCACAGTATTTTTGTCTACATCAGGGGATTTTTAATATAAATGTTTATCTTTTTCTTTGACAAAAGTAGACCAAAGGAATTATATCTAAGAATGATTCAATCCATCTGCTTTAGCATTTGTAGGTAATTTTAAAAATATCTCCATCATTAAGTTCTCTCAAAAAGACTGTAAATACAAGATATCACTAGATACTTTTCCATGCTCAAAGCCAGTGGGGACTTTGGATTATCATTTAACATCTCTGGGCTTCAGTTTCATTATCTGAAAAATGAGGGGTTTGAGAGGATATGTAACATTCCCCCGGGGTCTAACATTCTACAACACTATTGCTAGGAACATATTGTAGTAATGCTGTCATATAAGTTCTGCTATACAATAAAATGTATCTTTACTACTAAGCTACAGTATAAATATCCATAAAGCAATATTATGCTATCTAAATAATTCTACCAGTGCTTCATGTCGCAGAAAAACTTTAGTACTCACTTGAGAGTCTTCCTCTTTGCATGCATGCTGTGGCATCTGTTCTGCATCAGATATTTCATCTGAAGACTCATTCTTTCTTTTTTGTTTCTTACCCAATGTAATAATGAGTTTGCTGTTTCAACGGGAAAAGAGTACACAGTAAGATCTTTTTACATTTTTTCATTTTTGGTCAAATTAAGATGGCCATGATAATAAGCTTTATGACATTTTATATCACTTGAATGTTCAACCAAAGATGATAATTATCGTGAAATCCGTAACATTTGCAAGACAAAACTGCATTCTACTGGAGCAAACACAGATTAATATTTAGTTAATGTACTTTAAAGCAAAGAAAGGTAGTCAAGTTTTATCACTTGTTTCTTAGGCTCAAGATTATTTTTCACGGGAAAATCGTTCATATACCTGTATTTAATAATTAAAACAATTAATTTTGTTATCTTGTAGATTTGAAATGAGGAATTTTTTTCCCTCCATCTCTTACTAAATTCAAATTACACTTAATGTCCTTAAATCCCACATATTCCCCACAGTAATTTTTTCCTTACTCAAAACACTTTAAAAATTAATTGTTCTTATTTTATTTCTTAAGGCTTAACATAGATGTACTATAAGTCCTTAAGGAATAAGTTCTTTTATTTTTTATATTGAAAGTCTGCCTGTCTCTCTCATATATATATGCACACGTGTGTACACATACACACACATATATGTACACTGATATTTATACCTGCACATGAAATATAAATGTCTATAATGAAAATGGGTTTTTCATTTTTTGTTCCTGATCAGAAGTACAGAACTCCCACATTTACTAATCTGGTTCAACAGATGGGAGGACGTGATCTTTTTTTAAAATTCTCACCTGAGGATATTTTTCCATTGATTTCCAGAGAGTGGGGAGGATGGAGGGAGGGAAAGAGAGAGATCGCAAAACACTGACTGGTTGTCTTCCGCCTGACCCCAACCAGGGCTGGGGATCAAACTGGAACCAAGGTACATGCCCTTACTGGAATCATTGGTCCTCAGGCCAACACTGTAACCAATGAGCCAAATGGACCAGGGCAAAAGGACATGATTTTAAAGTACAGTGATACCTCGGTTCTCGAACATAATTTGTTCCAGGAGGACGGTCGAGAACCGAATTGTTCGAGAACCGAAGCAATGAAACCCAATAGGAAAGCGTGACTCCACAAAGCGTGACTCTCTCTGCACTCACACTGATGACGCAAGCAAGGCGCGCTGGGCCGAATGAACGCCATTCGGCTCAACTCGGCTCATCTCGGAAGTTCGAGTTCCAAATATTTGTTCGGATTCCGAGACAAAAGTTTCTCAAATCTCCATTTGGTCGAAAACCGAGGCGTTCGAGAACCGAGGTATCACTATACAATGTTACTCATAAACCATGCTATAACTGCTAATCAAGAAAATTCTATTTTATATATCTGTATTCTAGACATAGAAAACCCAGAATTTTTAATGATTATTTACTAATGTGGGACAACTTGAAGGTTAAGAGCATGAACTTTGAAATCATATGACCAAAGACTTGAAACCTGATTCCATCGTTTTCCTACCTGTGAGACAGTGGGCAAATTACTTAATCTCTTTGGCCTTAGTTTCCTTGCCTAGATAACACAGGTATTACAATAGCTACCTTTATTGTTCAGAATTAAGTGGGATAATGTATGTTACCTCTTAGCAAAGTCTTGGCACATAGTAATTTCTCAACTAATGATCACTATGTCTAATTATTATATTCCAGGCACTTTCCTTGATTCTAGGATTGGAAGAGAAAGTGGACACAGAGCCTAACCTTAAAGTATTGTTGGAATATGATCACAGTTAAAATGCTAAAATAGAACTTAGCACCGGATATAATGTGAACATAAAGGAAGAAGTGCTTATGTTCACTGAAGAGTAAAGGAAGCTTTAGAGAAGAGGTAAAGTTTGAGATTTGAATGATGAAAGGAAGTTCAACAGGTAGTAAAAAAATGAGGTCGGGTACATTCCAGGTAGGAAGATACCACAGAAGAATGAGAATATGCAGTGATGAAATCATGTCCAGAATACACAGAGTACTGCAAGAGGAAGAAACAGAGAGAGAGATGGTCACCCAGATTAGGCGAAGATCACAGAAGGTCTTGTATGACATGCAAGGAGTTAACATTTTGGTTGAAGGCCAGCTTTTAACCTCCATAGATCAGGAATTGAAAACGAATCTGTCATGTTGACTACAAATAACAAATGGCACTAAGACATCTTTGAATGAATGGGGGGGGGGGGAGAAAATGAAAGCAAGTGAAAAAATATGAAATTTTAAATGAAGTTCTGAGGATGAAACTATAGTCAACAATACTGTATTGTACATTTGATATTTCAGAGAGAGTAAATCTTAAACGTTCTCATCACAAGAAAAAAATTTGACTACGTGAGATGATAAATGTTAAACTTATTATGATAATAATTTCACAATATATACATATATCAAATCATGCTGTATACCTTAAACTAATACAATGTTATATGTTAATTATATCTCAATAAAATGGGAGGGGCGAGAAGAACTTTAAATAAGAGAGTAATGAAACCAGAAAGAAGTAAAGGCAGGGAAACCTATGGTAAGGCAAACGACAATTTAAGTGACTGATGAAGAGTACAGGATAGGGCCATGATGATGTGCTGGAAAAAAAGATATAATTTTTTATTTTGGAAGTAGAACCAGCAGGACTTAGTTACTGACTAGATGTGAAGCAAGAAGAAATTCTAGAATGATGTATTTGCAGGTTATTGTTGTATTGGTAATAATTACCACCTTCAACAGGATAATAATTCTTGGTATCTCACCTTCACTCTTCTGAGTATATGAAGAAAGTAAATAAGAGTAAAAATATAGCTTGTGTTGGAACCAGGAAATAAAAGTACAAACAGATATTATGAAATGACATTAAGGAACCAACCACAGTTACACTTCATTCCTTCTCACCACTTTCATTGGCCTTTTCCTCCCTCTTCTGGTCCCTTTTCTTAACTCTGGTTTCTTTTCAAAATAAAAATCTCCCTTGAGGTCATATGTATTATTAGATACCACATCATCTTCTTCCTTTTTCTCATGCATAGTTCTCAAAAAAGTTGTCCATATTAACTGTTTAAGTTTCATTTTTCAATCCACTATAACCTGAACTTTACATACATTATCTCATTTGATGTTTCCACAACTCTGAGAAGCAAATACTACTATTTTATAAAAGGAAATTGAGGCTTAAAAAAGTTAAGTAACTTGTTCCAAGTCACACCGATAGTAAAAAGAGATAGAAATTAATATCTCACTCCAAAGACTAAGACTCCTAATGTCTAAGGCCACAAATGACCTTTGTAATGCCAAATCCAATGGAAATTTAGTTTTACCTACCAATACGTAACTAATCATTTTTTCCTTCTTTGCACCCTTGGCTCCATGTCACTATATTCTTCCGGTTCTTGCTAAACTTCTTTAGCTCCTCTTCCTCCATCTACTCTTAGTATGTTGGTTTCCAGCAAGATTCATTCCTTGACATTTCTTAAACTTAGTTATTTCCCAAAGTTTTCAGCCTTCTTCCCTCTCTATATACTACGATCTCTGGGAGATTTAATCTATTCTCCTCTACCCTCCTCCACCTCCACCACATAGGATGGTTGATATTGAGCCTGCAGGGAGCAAGCTGGCCCTAGAATCCTCCAAGTCCACATTTCTTTGCCTCCAGTTCTTACATGCCCAAAGACAGGGAACCACAGATGCACCTTTGTAGGAGGGAAATTTAATCTAAAAGTTGAAGATTCCTAAATCTCTTACCTGTAGATCAGACTATTTACCTAAGTTTCAGATTCACATAACCATTTATTAGATATTCCACAGATACCACAATCTCAAAATGCCCCCAAATGAAATCCCTCACTTTCCCTAAATCTAATAGTTTAATATTAAAGTATAATGTAAATTCAGAAAAGTACACACCTCAAGAGAGTACAAACAGTTCAGTGGATTTTCTCAAACTGACATAAATATGTAACCAGCTTCCAGATCAAGATATGAGACATTATTAGTTTCCCAAAATTATCCTCTCAAGTCTTCTCTTCCAGCAACAACTTCAGGCCAAGGATAACCACTATCACACTGATTCTTTAACACAAACTCAGGTACTTGTGCAAATGATTTTCAATAGCTAGGTCAGGAATAATGCTAAGTAAAAACTAGGTAACAGAAATATATATTTGATGTATTCCCCCATTTGCTATCCACCTACAAATCAAAATGCATGTTTTAGACTAGTTTGTGGATGAAAACAAAATGAGTAAAAGCAAAGTTTAGTTACTTAATAATTTCCCATAAATTCAATTCATGACATGTTTGTACTATTTAATATAGTGCTTAAAAGGCATTTTCTGTGTTGATAAGCTAAAGGATTTTTGTAAAATACATATTCTGATACAGTATCTATGTAGCTGTGAAAAGACTCATATCCCAGTGAATAAAAAATTTAATAAAATCAGAAGCAGAGATATTAACATTTTTTTTTGTATTTATAAATGACTATGAAGAGGTGATACTGTTCCTTTCTAGTGGTATGAGGTAATTAAATGAAAATTCACTGAGGTCGGCGAATTAAGCTGTTTAAACATTATTTTTATAAATAAATATAGCCTAAATCTAGAAAAGAAATACTAACAAGTGCTGCCAGATCAATCTTAAACCCCGTCCATTTTGGTAGAGTCATGGGTTAGATGCAACTGTTTCTTATAACTTAAATAAACCTTCATCATATTATTTTAGAAATGCACTTAAAGCAAAAAAGATGCTTTAGTTTTCCATATATTGTATTTTCTATTGATATTGTTCTATAGGCCTAAAATAGCATATTATTTAACCATTCTTAACCTATGAAATAACCTTTTTCAAATCCTAACTTTATAAGAGATAATTCAAATAATAGTAGTTTCCTAATAAACATTTTAAAGTCCAAAATATTTATGTATGCCCTTTCTGTTCAAAAAAAGGTACATTTCTATGGTAGGAAAAAAAGCTGATTCTAAAACTTGAAGTCATTATTGACTATCATAATTCTGAGTCAAATATAGACATATTTTAAGATTTCAAAACTAGGGTTACTTACATAGAACACTGACTCTTGGAAACAATGAAGCCATTATTAGTTTATTGTGAGTTCTAAAATGGTATATAGGTGATACCTCAAAGGGGAACAAGAATCAGATTGCTATTGATCAGTAATTCCTAAGTGTGTGAGACAGGCTTCAGTAGAAGGTTATCTGTTAAAAATACAGATCCCTAATGAAAAAACATCAGAAGGACTTAACCTGAAAAAGATACTACAAAATAACTGGACAGTATGCTTCAAAAATAGATAATGTCATAAACGACTGAGGAATTATCCCAAATTTGAGTAGTGTAAGAAGACATGACAATGAAATAAAATGTAGGATTGTGAATTGAATGGCAGCCAATCAGAACTGACAAGATTTGCATGAAGTCTCTAAATAAGCTGATAGGATTGTATAAGTATTTATTTCCTGGTTTTGATCATTGTGTCTTGGTTATATAAATTGTTAACATTTGAGGAAGCTGGGTGAAGAGCCTAGGGGAGCTCGGATCTATTTTTGCAAGCCCAAAATTAGTTCAAAATAAAGTTGTTGTTTTTTTCAAGTACAGCATTGTAGGTCACAACACCAGGATACTGATCTACCAGGTGGGACTAAATCAGACTTCTAAAAAAGTCCTTAATGGATTCTGACGCTCCACCAGATTTGGGAACCACTTGCTCAAGACAGTTAGTATAGAATACTCTAGTAACAAAGATTCAGGATAATAAAACTGTATTTATAGAACACTTAAAATATTAAAGTGCTTTTGCCTACAATATCTCAGTTGATCCTAAGAAAAACTCTGAAATAGGCAAGGGCAGGTATTAGCACCACTAAACTAGTAGAAATACTTCAGCTCCAAAAGATGAAATAAACTGCCCAAGTTACAAGTTCAGTAAAACACAATATGGTCTCTTTATGATTCCTAGTCTATTATTTCCAACATATTTTTTTTTTGTATTTATTTTTATATATTTTTTATCCTCACCCGAGGACATTCTTCCATTTTTTGTTCAGACTTAGTGAGAGGGAGGGGGAGGGAGGGGGGAGGGGGAGAGGGGGAGGGGGGAGAGAGAGAGAGAGAGAGAGAAACATCTAAGTGAAAGGGACACATCGAGTGGCTGCCACCCACACGACCAAACAGGGCAGGGGACAAACTGCAACCAAGGTACGAGCCTTTAGTGGGAACTGAATCTGGGTCTCTCTGGACCACAGGCTGACGCTCTAACCGCTGAGCCAAACCGGCAAGGGTATTTCCAACATATTTTACTAATTTTATTTTTTAAGTGGATTTTATTTATTTCTAAATAAAATTTATTGGGGTGACATTGGTTAATAAGATTATATAGGTTTCAACTGTACATTTCTATAATACAACATCTGTATATTGTATTTAAAAATCTTACTTATTTTAAAATGATACCATAGCTCAACCAGTCGACAGATATTGATATCAATAAACAGTATAATGAATAAAGAAAAGCATGCAACTATATTATCTTTTAGTAAATTATTACGGTTAATGTTTAACTGAATTTCAAACAACCAGAAATCTCTATTACCCTTACAGTGACAAATGCCAGCCGTAAAGGTTATCTGAAGAAAATCAGATGATCCAAAAGTAAAAAAAAACCAACAAACATTTAACTGAAATACCAAATTACCAAAGAACATTCCATTCTTCCATCACGAATCACAGAGTTTACTATATTAATTCTAATAAAATTTCATTATAAATGAAATCAAAATTTCAGATACATTCTTCAAATAGTTTGCTATTTCTAGAACTATCACCAAAGTAAAGCAAAAAAGTAATACAGACTATATTAATAATAAAGACTTCATGCAAGTTTTTCTGGACTGATTTATCCGCATAGCAAACCTTATTAAACGACCTTTATTTACCATGCACTTCCTAGTTACCTTTCCACAATTTACTACTCCTTGGAGCCCCAATCCCTCTTCCCCTTTTCCTTTGTCTTGTCTCCTTTTCATAACTTACCAACCTTTGTTAAAATGGTATATAAAACCCCAGGTCTTTAGGGTCTTCATTTTTTTTAAAATTTATTTATTTATTTTTTATCCTCACCCCAGGACATTTTTCCATTTTTTGTTCAGGTAGAGTGGGAGGGAGAGAGAGGAACAGAGAGAGAGAAACATCGATACGAAAGGAACACATCGAGTGGCTGCCACCCGCACAACCGACCAGGGCCGGGGACAAATTGCAACCGAGGTACGCGCCCTTAGCGGGAACCGAACCCGGGTCTCTCAGGACCGCAGGCCGACGCTCTAACCACTGAGCCAAACCGGCCAGGGCGATTTTTTTTTTTTTTTTTTTTAATGAAGGCCTCCTTGCATGTTAAAATTAATCTATTAATAGCAAATAAAATCTGTGTTTTTTTTTTTCTTGTTCATCTGCCTTTTGTTAGTTTAACTAGCAGGTTCGTGCAAGTTTTGCTTAGTTAAAACATTAAAGGGATCTGTTAGCAAACTTCAGCAACACATACTCAGGTTAGCATAATAATTATATATCAAAACACAGCTTGAGCCCTGGCCAGTTTGGTTCAGCGGTTAGAGCACCGGCCCAGGGACTGGAGAGTCTCGGGTTCTGTTACTGCTAAGGGCACATACCTCGGTTGCAGTTTGTCCCCACCCCAGTTGGGGTCATGTGGGTGGCAACCACTCTATGCGTCTCTTTCACCACGATGTTTCTCTTTCTCTCCTCCTTCCTCTCTCCCTCCCGCTCTATCTGAAGATAAATGCAAAAAAAAATGTGTACTCGGGTGAGGATAAGACAAACAAAAAAACACAGCTTGATTCAGACAGCAATGGGTAATTCCAAACTAAGTATACACTTGAAATGTTAATTCATTTGACAAGTCTATGGCACTAGAAAACCTCTGTATTTATACTTAACATCTATATTTGATTTTCAGACATTAACTTATGCACTCATCAAAATCCTGTCCACATATTATTAGTAGAGACTGTGTAAAAAGCTGCACTCTACAACAGTGTAAATCTAATTGCCCCCTGTTGATTCTCTCATTGCAAAAATTGGACAATGAATCTTACCCAATTAGTCCATTTGTTGCAATTAATGCATCCAGTACATCATAAATGAAGGAAACAAGCAAATTTATATGTACATTATAATTTCTTTCTTTGTAAACCAAGTGAAAAATACTGGCGCTGTTTTTAAAGTTATCAAATATAAACTTTTAAAAAAAGAAACATTTAATTTGATGAGATTAATCCTGTTTCAGGTTCAACTCAAGACTCTGGCTTAAACTCGTCTAAGATAAACAATCAAGTTTTAAAAGGGTTCTGTATTTTAGTTAACCTGATATTTGTAAAATTAACATTGTATTGTAAGCTTCTGGTAACTTGGACTATAAATTACTTCCTGTTAAGGGATGGATATAATTTTTTTCAAAAAGTTTAATTGACTTAGTTGTTTCATATAAAGTTGCTAAAGATTACTCATAGTCAATATATTTATCAGCACAGTATAATCCCTTTTAAAATTTTTATTTTCCAATTACAGTTGACATTCAATATTAGCACTTAATTTTTATTATTAAAAAATTTATTCTTTAAAAAAATAAAATGGTGTTTATGTTTAAAATTATTGACAAATAGGAAAATTAAAATCAA